TGGTCTGTTAAGATCACCATTATCATTAGCAACAGCATCTTCATCACCATCATTCACAGCTGCCACACATGAGTGGTTAGAGATATAGGCTTAGAGCTAGAATGCCTTACTGTGAACATAGCTACTTTCAAGTGATGTGGTCTGAGTCTATCCTGCCTCTCTGTGCCTCTTACCTATAAAATAGGAGTAATAGTTATATCTACTTAGGAGTGAAATGAGAATTAAGTGTGCTGGCTCACATAAAGTGCTTAGGGCTGATGACTGACACTCTTGATATTATTCTTAGCATTCTAAGGTATGACCATCTGGGCTATGCACAGCTTCAGATGATATCCGGGAAGGGCAGGGTTAAAGAGCTTTGCAAGGCTCCCACACTGTGGTGTTTACAAGATGACTATGCCTGCCTGAGTCACTCAGTGGTAGCAGAAGGCATGGACGGTGTTTTCCATGGAGAAGAGCTGCACACTCCCAGTTCTAAACAAATTGGGCAGTGCCAAGACCCAGATCAGAGGCTGGCAGGCAGCTGAACTATCTGTTTCTCCAGATCTGTTCTAAAGAACAACGCTGCCTACAAAAAGACCATGCTGCCTGCCAGATTAAACACTAAACTTACTCAACAGCATAAATTACCTACCTTAGAAGGGGAAAAAAAAAAACCCTACATTATCTTGAACCAAACTTTAGAGGCAGGATCAAGGAGTTTAGACTAAAAACTTCAGTGACATATCCACAACTCCCAGTCTACTGATTCTAAGGCTTAAAAAATACATAGACAGTTCAGATCACTGTCTCTCAAAAGACTAGTAGTTCTGGAAGACTTGAGATGTAACCCCGGGGATGCGCAGAGAGAAAACCAACTTTCCATGTCTATCAGCACTGCATCCTTGGTGCAGGACTATGTAGGGCAGGATACAAAAAGCCACTTAGGTTGTTATGCTCCAGGGGGGAAACAGGATGCTGAGTATGAAGTATGAGGCATCACTTTTCTCACTGTCACGTCTGACGATACCATGAAAATGCAAGGGCATGAACAACTCTCTCTAATTCCCTATTTTACACATTGCCTCCTGCTGTCTGGGGAAAAGGAGCACACAGGGGCATTTATGCATACAGCATGCCTGCACACGGGTGGTCACCAGGAAAAAGGCATAGCTGAGACATCCTGCAATGTGTTTTATAGGAAAAAGAACTAACAGTAAAAAGTATCCAGTAACTATTACAGAGGGTCATATACACCAAAGGTTATATTCATGAATTTAATCTTACCTATCATTTAATTTTCACAAAATGTTCACAAATGAAGTATCAATAGTCACCAATTCCAGTTTACAGAAAATTGAGTCTTAGAGAATTTAGTGACTTCTTTAAGGCCATATGATTCCTGCATAATGAGGTGGAGTCAGGCCTGGTGGCATAGGCCTGTGAGCCCAGTGATTCAGGAGGCTGAGGCAGGAGGATGAGGGGTCAGGGTATGTCAAGGTAATTTAGTGAGACCTCGCCTCAAAATAAAAAATGAAAATAAAATGGAGTTGTTGATACAGCTCAGTGACAGAGCACTTGCCTTGCAGGCATGAGGCCCTGGGTTCAATTCCTAGCAGTACACACTAAAAAAAATGGGTCTGCAGAGATGGCTCAGCAGTTAAGCTATTCTTCCAGAGGACTGGGATTTGGTTCCCAGAAACCACATGGTGGCTAACAACTAGTTATACCTCTAGTTCCAGGGGATCTGACACTCTCTTCTGGTCTCTGCAGGTTTATATACATGTGGTGCACTTACATGTATGCAGGAAAAAACACTCATACACATAAAATAAAAATAAATAAATTCAAAAAATAATTGAAGGGGAGATCTTAATCTAGGGATTGTGGCTAGAGGTGTAGCTCAGTGGGTAGAGCGCTTGCCTAGTATGCATGAAGCCCTGGGTTCAATTCCCAGTACTGCATAAACTGGGCATGGTAGCACACCTGTAATCCCAAAACTTGGAGGCAGGGGAATTAGAAATTCAAGGTCATCATTGGCTACATAGGGAATTTGAGGCCAACCTGGCCTACATGAGATCCAGTCTCAAAAATATATAATTAAAAATAAATATGTTGGAAGAAATTAACACAGGGACCATGACTTCCAACCTACTATTTTTAACTAGAAGCAGAGAATCTAGAAAACCAGGGGTTGTACAAGAAATCCCAGAGACTGACAGAGGGATTAACACCAGATGCACATCATACGCTTACTCGGTCTTCTGTCTAGGAGGGTTGCCATTAGCCTCATGCGGTTAATGGAATTTAAATGAAAGAAAATGAAATTTGAATTTCAGCTCATTGCTGTTGGGCACTTATATCTTGCTAGCAGATCAATGGCCTGTGATGTCCATGTCACTTAATCTTAATTAATCTTATTTCAATAGCCGTGTGGCTGGTGGCTACCATAATGGACAGTGCTGATTTCAGGAATCTTTGTTCTCAGTTTCTTCACACGTGTTCAGTGTTGCCTTTCAGAATCAGAGAAGAGGGACACTATCTTGCCCAAGGACCCACTGAGAACTATGGGGATAAATATTTCATGGCCTCTTCCTTACAAGTAGATACTATATGTTTTTTCTGTCTTGGCCTTTCCCACATTCCCATGGGAAACCCTCTGACTTCCTCGTAAGGCCCACTAAGGTGAGGCACTTATTGTCACAGCAGACAGACCTAGAACATCTGTTCTCAGACAATGATACTCATCAGGACAGCATGGAGCTGGCAAAAATGCAGACTCCTGGGCTCTGCCTCTGCAGAGGACCTAGGGAGGAGGCCCAGGGACTCACATTTTAATCATGCATTCCAATGATTCCAGTGCAGGTGGTCTTGCCTTCAGAAACGCAGCTCCAGAGGCTGAGGTACATCTATTGGCGTCTTACACAATCATAGCCCATAAATCTTTCCAGAGTAACATAGTCTGGGCTGGAAGCCAGGCAGTCCTCACTCTTCACTAATTGCTCAATTCTTCTATGTCAGGAAAGGTACTTATTCGCTGAAGTCTCACAGTTTTCCATCTGAAGCATGGGGGTAAGGGTAGCTGAGCTTTGTCTTCTGGGACAAGTGAGACCACAGGTGGAAAAGGCATTTGAAGAGAGATAAAAGGTAAAACATATTCTATAGACATCCTATGACTCAGATACACCTTTTGTTTGTCTAGGAGACAGTTTAAATGGATTCTACATCTTTAAAACGCTGTATTTTTAACTGCTATGAAAGATCTAATCAAGTGGGGCTCATATGATGGTAGCAGCTGCTGTGATTACAGAAAGGGCATATTCTACTGTCAATAGGGCACACCATTATTCTATCTCCCAAAGTTTGGTCAACAGCAAGTCATGGATGAGAAGGGCTCATGTGAACCCCACCCTTCCCTGAACCATTGGCTACTGATGGATTGTGGGGGATGGGGAGTCATTATCTTCAGCTGTAAGCCCACTGTTAAGCCCATTAGGCTCCATTGGATAGTTCTATACCTATGTACACTCAGACAATCCTGGTCAAAACTAAAACAAAAGACATGAATATGGAAAAGTTAACTTTAGGGAAGAGGAGAAGTTGATGGAGGAGTTGAGCAGGAGATGAGCGGTTGGGACATGGGAGTAACAATGCGTTCTACTATGCATGAAACTGTTAAAGAACAAATTTAATTAATTTTAAAAAGCTGGGTAATTTTGAGTAACTCAAATTTTCTGTTTCTGATTCTTTAACTCAGAATAATGATATGCCTCCCTTAAAGTGTTGTGACAACTTAATTAGTCAAGATAGTATTTGCACTGTGCCCAGAACAATGGTTGGCAAGTGGTATGGCTGGCATATGGTAAGAACTGTATGTGTTAGTTGGAAAATGTTTATGGCAACAGGTAGCTGGAGCTAAACAGCAGCTGTCCCCAATGCATGGAATTGATAGAGCTTATCACCTCTATCCATAGCCCAGGCATGTCTAACCTGTGGACCGTAGGCCATATGCATCCCAGGATAGCTATGAATGTGGCCCAACACATTTGTAGATGACGGTATGATGCAATGTCAAAAGGCTGGAGATCCCTGATACACCTTGGACTATGGGACCTGCTATGAAAGCATACCCATGACTCTGGTTCTTTGCTTTGAGAGGGACAGAAACACTGAGCATATCTTAGAGTATTCTTCCCAAGATGCAGACCAACATGTGGCCCTGCCGAGCTTGACTGACACACTCTCCACAAATGACACAGCAGATGAGTATTACAACAGCATCCTACCTAGTTTACATACCCTGATCAGTAAGATGAGCACACCGAACACGCACATGCATATATACAGGCAATGGCCGTCTCGGGCAACTGTCTTGTCTCCACAAGCTGTAGGAAAACTCTGTTGGAGACAGCACACTGAGACAGACAACATCCTGTCTGTTTCAGCCAGTCTGTCTTCTCCTCATCTATTTATGGATTTCCTACATTTTTATTTGTATATCTGTGAGATACTGGGCTTCAGAAAAACCTTTGGAAGCTAGGTGCCTCAAGCAGCGGCAGGCTGGGGCACTTGCAACCCAGTTGTGGTAAATACTGTCATTATCTTACAGCTGGTCCTTTTCATGAACGCTGTCTTCAGCCAACATGCTGCCTTACCCATAGTGACCCCCCCCTCCACTCCCCCAGCTGCCATCCTCCAGCCATCCAAAAGTAATGATGGATGGGCATGGTGGGATGACACATCAGTTCCAGTGTCATAAGAAGGAACTGACTCTAGGTTGCAATACAGTCTCCAGAGCCCCCTCTGGGACAAGTTAGAGCCAGAGCTCTGAGGCGACATCCTTCCTCTACTGGGAGTACCTGGTCCCCAAATCACCATACTTCAGAGGCATCCAGACCTTGAAATCTCTATATTCCATCAGAGACAAAAATCTATCTGAAACTTGCATTGACTTTTCCCAGCAGCCAGACTAGAGGAGGGCACAGTACAGAAAAACATTATATTCCCGAGGACCAGCCTACCTGTTGCATTTGACAGGGCCAGCGATTCCATGGAGCCATGAGGAGTCTGCTCAGTGGGGGTCATGTCCTCTGTGTATTTCAGGGAACTGAGTGGACGACGGGTCCGGCACTGTGGCTGTGTGGATATGCCTCCTTCTTCCTCCTCTTCTTCCTCTTCCTCATACTTGGGGACAGGGATGCTGCCGCGGGTTTCACTGAAGCTTTGGCTGGACATGTCACTGTAGCTCTCCTGGGACCTCAGCCTCCCTGGGTAATAGTCCTCACGGCATTCCTTCATAAAGCTGCCCCCATGGCCCTTCATAGCCAGTGACGAGCTTCTCTTGGGGTTGCTGAAGTGCTTGGCCCACATATCGGGCTGGGCTCCTGCCCCCTGCCCTCCTGGGCTGTAGGAAGTTCTGATGTTGCACTGGCTGAGGAGCTGCAAAGGACTCTGGGACTGGTTCTGCTCCATCTTGTTTCCATAGTGGAAGGGCTCATCCCGGCTCCTCCAAATGGGGTCCCGGTTGAGGCTGGGAGTCTGGCTGGACAGGCTGAGGAGATCCATCTGCATTGACAGGGGGTCCACATCAGCTGAGAGCCGGTTAGAACTCACTTGCAGCTGGCTGTGCTGGTTCATCATGGCCTCCTCTGTCTTGCCCTTGTTCTTGCCGATTTTGGCACTGCGCCGGGACTCCTTGGCTCTGGCATTCTGGAAGGCCGAGTCAGAAGAATCAGAGCCATTGGGGTCCTCCCCAGCACTGCAGGCCCGTGAGCAGAATATCTGACCCTGCTTTGGGAGGAATGGTCGCCCTAGGAGGGACTTCTTACAATGAGCACAGCAGAAACAGGTCTCCGTTGCATGCCAGTGTTGGCCATCATAGGTCATTTGACCTTGGTCGATCCCTGGGAAGCAAGAGACAGAAGAGAAGAAGGCTGAGGAGCTGTTTTGAGCACCACGGTGCCTTGTGAAAGCTGCCAGTGACACCCTACTTTGGTTCAGGATTCATGCTGTGTCAATTGCTCCATAATCAAACCCCATGCAATTGGTCTGCACACCCGATTACAACTCATTCTACCAGTCAGCAACTTTCCAGCTTCACTTGCTTCCAGCATGGAGTATCTAGATCAAAAAAGCTTAGCCATGAGTTCTGCTTGGAACACATTTTCCTCAAATAGCAACAAAAGTTGAGCATCCCTAATCCAAAAAACCCAAAGTCAAAATGCTTTAAAACTCCAAACTTTGGTGTCAACATGATGCTGCAAGCAGAAAATTCTATATAATGAAACTTTACTCCATACATAAAAATTATTGGAGGTGTCATATAAAATTATCTTAAGGTTATGTGCATATAGGAAATATAAATGAGCTTTGTGCTTAGATGTGTGTTCCATCCCTAAAATATTTCATTAAATGCAAATATTCCAAAATCTGAACAAATTCTGCTCACAAACACTTCAGATCAATCTGAAATCAATATGTAACAGTACTAACACGATGAAGCACTGTTTTAAGCATTTATTTATGCAAAGTCATTCAATTACTCAGTTTTGTTGAGGTGGATTTCTACCATTATTTTTGCCTTTTAGAGGAGGGGGAAATAGAGACACAGAAGATCAAATAAGGCAATATATTTAGGAGTCAGAGACCAGATCTGTACTCAGATGTCCTGCTCCTAACCACAATGCCAGTCCCGTCTTCACTCGACTTAGTTTATCTGCTCAGATGTCTGGAGAAGTTTTCTTGTCCACAGTCAATAGCAACCCCAGTTGCTCTCCACCTTTCCCTGTGTATTAAAGACTCTTTTATACCATGACATCATATGTATATGTATAGGTGTATTATTCTTTCATTGGAAGTGATGCTTGGGTACAGGGTCAGGACTTTCTGTGGTATTTCCAGTACTTATGTTATAGGGGTCTTTCTACATAGAGTGGATGGCTAAATCAAACTATATCACCGGCGTATATCATTGAAAGGGCAGTCACTATAATGGCTTGTCAAATGCTATAGTTTAAGCATATGTTTCTCCTCCAAATTCACGTGCTGAAGTCCTAATACCCAACATTGCTAGTATAAGGAGGTAGAGCCGTTTAAGAGGTAATTAGATCATGAGGTTTCTGCCCACATAGATGAAGGTCTTTATGAAAGAGACGGAAGAGTCCATGTGAGGATGCAGTGAGAAAGCACCATCTATGAGCCAGAAAGGGATCTTCCCAGGCACCCAATCTGCCAGGGCCTTGAACTGTGAGAAATATGCTTCTATTGTTTAAGAAACTATCCAGTCTGTGGTATTTAGAATAGACCAAGTCAGTGGAAAAGAAGTGGGCTTCAACTCTAGATAATAAAGTCCTGGGTGTGTTTGTCAAAGATGCTATCCCTCCATTGGCACCTGCACATAACACCATCAGAAAAGGAGGGGGCGCATGTCTGGACTCTACCTGCTACACACAACCCCAGGGCTCTGTGTGCTAAGGAGCTCCCACCTCGCTTGATTCTCACCAGGTCCTCTACCCGTTTCTGGTGGAACTTACTCTCTGTGGGGGATGCCATCTTTCCACCACTCTCAGGCCATAAGCTTGGGGGTAGGGAGCACTACAGCCACCCTTAGAACCAGCCTCAGCTAGTAGGAAACAATATTTCCCAGTCCCAGGGTCTGATCTAGGGATGGCTCATGAGTAGTAATAGGATGTGAGAGGGTCACCTGGGGCTTCTGTGAATGACAGGACAGGTGAGTAGCAGACAGTTGGGTCATCTGCCCGAGGGGACAGACTGTGAGAACACAGACCCTAGGGATTACTGTGGGCAAGAAAGGATCCGACAAGATTTCCAAAGTGGGAAGATAGCACTACAGTGAGCCTCTACCTTCAGTGGTTGAGAATCCCATAGCCTGAACTTTTAAGGTGTGACTTCCAGACACTTGTCTAGAGAGAGAGGGTAAACAAGAAACTGAGAGGGAAATGATCAACAGAACTTAAAGTGCTGCACGGAGCAGCCTTGTCCCCTGCCTGCCTCTGCTGCTTTTGCATCACTAGAGCCTGGGGACAGACAGGAAGGAGGCAAATTCTTCTCTAACTTGTTGTTCTCCAACCTGGGAAAGGAAGTGTCTCCTCAGCTGGGCACTAGTTCCTAGGGACTACGAGGGGCTCTTTATGGGGGTAGGAGCAGTCCCAGGGCAGCCCCAAATGAGAAGGCCACTGTGTGATTCAACTCTACCCCTCTGACCACTAGGTAGATTGAGGGGGGAAGCTGGGGTGGGGATGGAAATAGACATGTCTAAGCAGGGGCTGCAGTGGATACTTCTGCCCAGGCCCCTGGGAGATGCAGGGGCATTCTGATGCAGAAATATGTACTAGGTAAGAATGGGACCAGTCCTGTCACTTCCAGTGGGCTGTAAAATGGCTGGAGCCCATCTGCTGGGCTCAAGTCAGGTCTCCAGCTGTGTGACTCCAGGCAAATGGCTTCATCTGTGTCTTGTTCTCCTCAGCAGAGCAACATGGATGAAAACAATCCTTACTCTGTAGGGCTGTTGTGAGGATTAACTGACTGATTATGCAAAGGGCCGAGCCTGAGCCTGCTAGCTATTAGAAACTGTCTTTCTTCTGGTTTTATGAGGTCTGGAAGCCTAGTTCCCTCTTCCTGGAGGGCCACTGCCTAGGTACTGTCCGACAGCAAACCCTGAGCTGTGCACTTCTCTCTTCTCTGTACTCTCTCTCCTATGCGCCAGGAGTCCCGAGAGCTCATTCTGGCATCCTTGGCTGCCCTGGATCTTTGACTGCAGGCAGCTACTCAGCACGGTCTCTGATTCTCATAGCTGTAGCCTTATCTACTCCTCCCGCCTGTCCTCTACCAAGCTGCATAGAAATGTGCTCAGAGGTGGCAGTGAAAGGAAGTTCCTGGGATGGGGCCTCACAGGAGGACAGGCTGGGGAGCGGGGAGTAAGGGGAGGCATGTTTCAAAGCAGCCCAGAAGGCAGCTGAGCATGGCCTCTGATAAACATCTGCGACGTCAGATGGCCCTCTGAACTGCTCTTGAACTCCAGACATCTGGAAAAGGACTCTGTGCTCAACATTTAAGCGTTCCTTAAAAAAATTCTCTCTAAGCCCTTTAAGCACTTCTCTGAGGGAGCATGTGTCTGCTGCTGCCACAGCCTCATCTGTTTATAGGAATGTTTACTCTGCTGTGCACAGGCAAGAGTCCCGTTGGCCTGGCAACGGCTGCCTGATGCAGGGTTTGCTCTAAATGGTTGGATAAATATGGAATAATTTTACAGTATGGCTAGAGGTGCAACACTTGATGACTGAGGTATGCATGATCCATACAGCAGAATCTCACTGTCCTAGGGAAATCATATTTTGCCAAAAAGTAGATTTTTAAAAATCAGGGACAGCAATTTAACTAAAGCATCGATCAAACTGCAGGCCACAATGGTTGCCATTTCTAGTAAAATATGGATGCCTTTCATGGATTTAAATGGAAAGGAAAGGGGAACGCCAAAAAAAGCTCTGCACAACTGAAAGAAAACAGAAGGCAGAGGGGATCTAGTGATAAGCAGATTTTTCTTTTCCAAATTTCTGGGAAAAAACTCCAAGTGGCCTCTTATGGAGGGGTTTCTGGCCTCTGCGGAAAACAAAAGGACACAGAAAAGCAATCAGAGGTGGTGTTGCTGTGTGGGTTAAGTGTCTACTCGTTCACACAGGTACTTAGGGGAAGGGGGCATGCCCTCACTAACCCCAGAAGGCAGAGCAGCACGTGCTGGGATTGCAGTCATGGGCGGGATTACGGGCAGGGGCTACCACACCTGACATCTGAATCTATCATTTCTGATTAGTGCTAGAGAAGAAACCACTTCTTTTGGGTCCTTATACAAATGAATAGGGGCAAATTGACCTTATAAATGGAAGGTGTCCACATTCCCTTATTGCAAGCATGATGCTGGCAGCTTCTGAACAGGCGTCTTGGAATTGTATGACCCACAGCCAGACATCTGTCCACTGCCAACATTTTTAAAACTATGTAGATCATTCCCAAGATGCCAGAAAAGGCAAAGTGAAAGCAAGTCCAATGCAAGCTGATCTGGCACACAGCTGAAGGGCTAAACAAACTGGTTACTTGCAAGAAAAGGACAATTCTCACCGCCTCCATCCTGCCAGTTTCTGGGGGAACATACAGCTTATGAACTATTTGTTTTGTATTTGGCTAGGTTGACTTTTGTTGAGTTCTTAGGAGATACACTTGTTGGAAGTCACCAATGGCCCCTTTCTACAAAAGAATCCCGTGGTTCTTTCCTCTGCCCATTTCCTGAGTTAAAAAAATATTTATTATTTTTATTTTATGTGTATGAGTGTATTGCCTGCACATATGTAAGTGCACCTGTGTCACGCAATGCCTGTGAAGGTCAGAAGGCACCATCAGATTCCCTGGAACTGGAATTAGGACAGTTGTTAGCTGCTATGTGGGTAGTGGGAATTGAACCCAGGTCTTCTGCAAGAACAGTCAGTGCTCTTAACTGCTGAGCCAACTCTCCAGCCCCTACTTAAATAGGTTGTAAAAGGTATCTCTTCATCCCTCCCCACCCACACATTTCCTGCTGAGGCTTCACACATTCCTGAGTGAGAAAGAGCACTGCATAATCCCACCTTGAAGGTGGACCCATGGCCAAGTTAGGACTGGTAAGGTTCCATTTAGAGGAACTAACTTGGGAATTGGCATAGTCCCTCTCGTTTTGAGAATGCCAGTGCTAAGACTTCATATGACTAGCCCACCATCTTAGTCACTGGCTGAGGATAGCTTGCTCCCAAAAGATGCCACCGGAAGGCAAACTGAGCTGAGACACAGAACAAAACAACAACAACAACAACAACAACAACAACAACAACAAATATAGACTTTCTTTGAGTTGAGCCCTGCATCCATCTCTACCAGAATCTGGAATACTCCTTGGCTTGTCAAGAAATTCTTTTTTGTTTAAGCTAGTAGGAGTTGAGTTTTCAGTACTTCTAACCAAAGGGATTCAAATTATGCCAGACACAAAAGAAACCCCATGCCAGAAGGATCAAGCTAAGTGCCAAGTATGGCCTTACCTATATGTTGGGCACAGGTGTCACAATATTCTGCATATAAGGACTCAAAACAGTGGCAGCAGTAGGGTCTTCCCTCCTTCATGATGTAGCGCTGGCCCCCCAGCACTGTCTCACACTCGAAGCAGCAGAAGTGTCGCATGTGCCAGTGACGCCCCTCGGCTTCTGTGCATTCATCTGCAAAGATGATCTGGAGATGGGAAGCCACATGGTCAGTGTCTAAGCCCACTTCAGAGGAAGTTACAGAACCCTAAACTAGAATAAGAAAGCAGGTGTGACCCACAAACTATCAAACTACATCGCATACATGTAAACTTACTCATTACCAACACAAGCACCACAATTTCATCTGCAGGAAGATGATCAACTATGGCACCACTCTCACAGGTCAGTAATGAAAAGGAGAAATAACCCAATTACAAAAATTGAGCAAAGGATTTCTATTCATAGCTCTACAAAAAGTTAAATAGATAAAAATATAAAAAAGTTCTCAACATTATTAAAGGTTAGGAAAATATGATTTAAAATATCAATGTGATATTATTTTATACCTATTAGGATGGCAAGTATTAAAAAACTGGAATTGTAGAAAACTAGAGCCGTCTTTTATTGACAGCAGGAATATAAAATGATGCAGCTGTTTTAGAAGACAGTTTGGCCTTCCCTCAAAAATTAAGCTTAGAATTACCAGGAAAATTACTCAAAATTAAAAATATAAATGCACCCAGATACTTTCACATGAATGTTCATAAGTAGCATTGTTCATGATATCTAAAAGTAGAAACAAATGTCCATCAATTGTTGAATGGGTAAGCCAAATGCAATACATTCATATAACTGATTATTATATAGTTATGAAAAGGAATGAAGTGCTAATATTTATAACACAATTAACTTGGACGACATCATGCTAGGTGAAAAAGACAGATACAATGGGACACATTGCATTATTTAGCTCAGATGGAATGCCTAGCATCCATGATCCAGAGAGAGAAAAGACTGGGCAAAAAGGCTAAGAAGGAGAATGTCCAGTGGATGACAGTTATTGATGTCTCAGCTGACAAAATCAGGTAATAGTGATGGCTGTTCAACTTTGTGAATGCACTAAAAGCCACTCAACTGTGTACCTGAGGTTAGGAAGGTAGAGGCTACCCAGAGTCATAGACTTGGACCTGTAATTGGTTTTTCAGCTAAGGGCGTAGAGAGTCTAGCACCTCAACATTAGCATCAGAATCTAAATCAGTGAAGTCTGATCAGCTTCCCAGAAGAATGAAGGTCTCACAGGCAGTCTAAGAGACAAATGCCCTTGGACTAATGAATCTGGCAGACAAGGGAGAGTACTAACTCCAGACTGCTGTTTGTAAGACCAGCATTACCATAAGACTTTCTGAGTTGGCAACCCATGTGTAAGACCTTTCCCCAAATAATTCCTATATATAGGAACATTGTTCTTTCTGCTCCCGACTTCTAGAGCTAAGCCAGGTTTTCTATCACATAGTGCAAAGGTCACATATTCCTAGGTACCCTTCTGGTGTGAGAAAATGGCAAGTGGTAGTTTTATGTGCCACTGTGATTGTGACTCAGCACAGCACTTTCAAATATTAGCTAGTGCCAGGAGTGGAAACATTCAGATAGATATGCACTGACTGCTGGTGCCTTTGTAAGTGGTGGAAAAAATACCACCTTCCATTTTCTTCTCCTCTCCAACCTGTTCCAGTAGATCCTGGAGAAGTGTATTTCTATTCCTAATGGAAACTCTCCAGGATTTTAACTGAAATCTAAAGGTGCTCAATGGCGTCTTTACATTTTTAACTGTGAGAGTTCTAAAGTGGCCTAGTGCCAGGTGTGTGCCATGTGGAACTCTGTGGCTGTAGCAGCTACGTCCCACCCCACCCCCACATGCAGGAGGCTCTGATTCTGCCTCACTGAGTGTGGCAGGCCACAGTATCAGATGTTCTGTCCACCCTGATTGGGATATGAGTGATGCTTCTCTCTAGAAAGGTTAACATGAGAGGGTAGAACTACCTGTGATTGTCTCCTGTTTGGGAAGCCAAGGACCATTCGCATAAACTATGCTGTGGTGAAACGGAGGGATGGCAGGTAGGGCAAGGACACTGAGAATAGTTTGGGGAGATGTGTGTGTGTGTGTGTGTGTGTGTGTGTGTGTGTGTGTTGTGATCATGCCACAGATGGTGCCACCCCCATCTTCCATGAAAATATAGAACAGCTAAAGTATTCACATATGGATGGGGCTCTGACCTCATCACAGGCTGCACAGCGTGGCTTCAGGCACTCGGCATGGTGCCTGCCACAGTAGATCTTCCCATCTTGGTAAAAGTAGATCAAGTCAACCAAGAGCTCATTGCAGACAGTGCATATGAAGCAGGGTGGATGCCAGCAAACCCCATGGCCGGCACGTGATGCGAACACAGCGATATCCCCACCGTTAATCTGCCCTCCACACTGCGAAGAAAACAGAAACATTAGTACCAGAACCAGCCATCTCTCATAGCTCTGAGTGAATGTCATCCACTCACCACCCACAGCTGGCTACTGCACAGCTATGCATGACTAGTCAGTGTGCTTTATGCTTTTTATACCTGGCAGAGCAGACTTATCTTGTTCCTTGCTGGAGACCCCACCTTAGGGCCTAAGGGAGTGACTTAAGTAACAGAGAAACAGATGAGAGAGAAATGAACTCTCAGTATGCTAGCATACAGAGCTCTCTCTGCAGGCTTTCTGCATGCAGAGAGAGGCCTTACCATCTCCCTCATATACCAAAGTATATGCAGAGGCATAGCCAAGCTTAAAACCACCAGGACAGGCTTCAGAGAGAGGGCTTGACTGGGAGGGGTGTGAACCACTGGATGGAAGTAGGAACAGGCACATAAAACCTATCCACCCTTAAATAACTTCTCCATTCTCCCTATGCCTTTCAGGCATGCTTTTAGTGCTCGCCTGCCATCCTGTCATATAGTCTTGATTAGAAGATACCACTTTTTTAAAACAATATTTTATTTATTATTTTTATTTTATGTGATGAGTGTATTGCCTACATATATGTGAGTGCACCCATGTTGTGCAATGCCACGGAGGTCAGAAGAGGGCTTCGGATTCCCCTGGAACTGGAGTTAAGGACAGTTTGTAGCCACCATGTGGGTGCTGGGAATCGAACCTGGGTCCTCTGCAAGAGCAGTCAGTGCCCCCAGACACCACTTTTTAAATCCAGAATATGCAATGGTTTCTGAGTGTTCCTTCTTGCTCATTTCCCAAAGTTTCCTCCTCTATCCAGAAGCAAACAAGGCAGAATTCATGCTCACAGCTGGGGTTGGGATACAGTCGTGCAGTGAGGCTTTTGGAAGGAGGAGGAGAGTATGAAGGAGTGGGTTTAGGAAGATGCTGTCTGTTCACCAAGGTATTGGCCATGAGGTCATGGCCCATGTCTAGTAGAATGACCCACATGGGTGGCTGAGCTCCAGGAAGAATGAATAACAAGTAAAGAAGATGTCTTCAAAGCTTTATGCAATATGAATATTGATGAATTGATATTTTCCACAGTGAGGGCATGGACTTGAAAAACAGCTTCTGGAAGCTCATGTGTATGTGACATCATAACACAGAAGGCAACACCCACCTTCCATGATTATAAGAGAGCAGCTAAAGTATTACATCCACTATCATATTACCATAGCTCTATAAGGTTTGTTATAAAAGGTCTTTCTGCCTCAACACTCCAAGTGTTACCCTACACAGATGTGGGCCCAACTTTCGTTCTCCTTTAGGTGAGCCCCACTCACAGGAGCTTTGTCTGAGAGCCAGGGAGGCTTTGAATTAAGCATAGTGAATTTCACATAACAAGCTGCATCCACTTATATCTCAGAGGTTGGTCTCAAGGATCTTCTTCAATGATGAAGACCCCCACTGCCACCTCTTTGGTCAAGGAGTTCTCCATCCTGTCTACTGAAATCCTGTCACTTGCCCCAATGAAATTCCAAAATGGGGCCCCAAAAAGTATCTTCACCTCTCAAATAGTTTCTGGCTTCCTCTTTACTAACCCAGCTGACCTGTCATTAGCACTGCTATGGGCCCACTCAGAACCTGAATTAGATGGAGCTGTACAAAAACTGGGAAGATTTACAGAAGGGTGGGCAAGGTGATCTTTAGGAGCAGGACTAGGGTGACGTGAGCCCAGGCAGGGGATGTTCCTGTTCTGCTGTAGCTCTCTTCCACCATGCCCTGAGCTACAGAAAAATAACAACAACCCTGCCCCCCCACAAAAAAACCCCAGATTCTTCAATTTAGTGAGGTTCTGGGGAGACTGCATGGGGTTTCTTATGCTTTGATAAAGAGCTCTCAAACTCAGATTAAGTTCAGGTACCACTCTTTTAAAGGGCATCAACAAACCTGGATGATCCTGAACTCATGGCTCAGGCAAACTGTTTCAAAAGGACTCCTTCCTGAAGATGAAACCATCACTCCTCTGCATGGTCTTTCCAATGGTTTACATGACTCTCCATGAACTCTGACATAATCCGCTCATCCCAGCCCTTCACTACCCTGTCTCAGCCCTTCACTATCCCCTGCCCTAGCCACACTGGCCAACTCACTATTCTTTGACTAAAGGAGCCACCTTCCTGCCTCAAGGCCTCCAAGCTGGCTGTTCCTTGTGCCCAAGAGCTGCATGCCTTTCCCCCTGTCCATATTTACATGCCTTCGCTCAAGATCCCACCTTCTGAGTCGGGTCTTCTCCCATCACTTTAAGACTGCAGCCGTCCCACCCTTCCAGCCTTTCCCAGTCCTCTTCTCTGTCACAATTTTTCTACTTCACCGGTTTATTGTCTAGTTTCTTCCCTTGAAGCATAACTCTTTAGAAGATAAAGACTAAGCTTTCATGTCTTTTGTTCACTGCTGTGTCTCCAAGGCCTCCAAAGGGCTGAATACATAGCAAGCACTTGATAAAGTAACTTCAGAGTGAACGGATGAGCGAAAGGATGCCAGAAGATGTTTCTTCCCTGTCTGTCCATGCTCACCTGTTCACAAATAGCTCCTGTCATGGTGACGGGGAATGGCCGGACATTCCCTCGGCCCAAGTTCTCACGTTTCCTCTGGTTGCTGAACAGCTTCAGCTCCCTCTTCTCTTCCTCATCGAGGGAGTTGCAGTATCGAACCTGAACACACAGAGAGAACAGCATGGTGGGGGCTCCTGAAGCTCACATTCAGGCTGCCGTCACAGAATACTCTGCTACTTGGTTTGACACATGCTTAGAGATTATCAACCCCAGGCTTGGAGCTACTTAAGGTGAGCCAGTATCAAGACTGGTGACAACCAAAGGCAATTTCTAAAACCTGTGAATCATGAAGTCCATGCCTCAGGCAAACTAGATGTTGCTGAACTGCTCCTCACCCCTTACTCTGTTCCCACACTCAGACACATAACCCAGAGTGGCTCAGAGTTTGGAGGAATTTGGCATCTTCCTTCCAAATTGTGGGAGCTAAAACTTTCATGTGCCAGTGTCTACGCAAATGAGCCCTGACATCAAAGAATGGCTCCAGGCTGGCCGTCAACATACACATGGCATCTGTCCTCCACCCTGCTTTGGGAAGTGAAGACAGGCAGGTTGAGCCTGCAGAGCATTTCCATAAGCACTGGTGATATGTGAGGTATCTGGGTGCAGGAGGGAAGGGGCTGCCTGCTGGACTTCTACTAGTGTGTCAGTGTGCAAAAGATACTTTCTTCTTTTTTAAACAAAGGGTGAGAGAATTAAGAGAGGCACAGTAAAGGCATCTACATCTAGGACCTGTCATTGTGTCCCATTGCTTCTGCATGTTGGTGATTGTGTCATGGTTCTTAACTATTATTTATTAATGTTGGTTTTAACTCACTTGGGACTGGAGAAATGGCTCAGTGGTTAAGAGCATTGGCTGCTCTTGCAGAGGGCCCAAGTTTGGTCCCCAGCACCCACATAGTGGCTAACAACCTTCTGTAACTCTAGTTCCAGGGGATCTAATGCCATTTTCTGAACTACATGAGCACTGCACACGTGGTGCACTTGCATGTAGGCAAAACACATGTATAAAAACAATTCACTTTAAAAAACTTGAATACATTTATTTAAAAGAAAAAACAAATTATAACTACATACAGAAAATCAGTCACCTACAAAGACCACAAGTTAACTCTGAAAAGTGAGATTTCAGTTGATCACTCTATTATCAGTAGATCCTAAAGCTGAGAGCTCTCTGATGCTCTGACTTAAAATTGGAGATCAGAATGGCCTAGAGAGGTGCTAAGGCTCTTGCCAGAGCCAGACTGAAATTTCCTCCTTATTATCTAGTCACTGAATCACGAAGATGAAATGTAAGTTAAAAGGGACTAACTCTCTCATTACAGATTCAACTTTATGTATTGCTGTGGCCACATCACATTCTGAGTCATGTTTATGCCTTCCTTTGGGAAACATGGTCCTGAACCGTCTCATGGCTTATTTTGGAGTATTAGAAATGTTGACTACATTGCTCAGACCATTTGTCATAAAGATAGTGAGAGGAAAAATTGTCAACTGGGACTGTTGTGTGCCAATTTGAAAATCAGAACAACTGTGTCTATTCAGATTGTGTTATCCGAAATAAAAGAGAACAATTAAGTATTTGCTTTAGAGTTCATTTGTATCTTCAAAAGAGGCCACAACACCATGTCAAATGAACTAATTCTGTCCACTAGGTCCCATGATCACATTGTACCAATGGGAAGTTGTAATCTGAATGGGTGTCTCTCTTTTTATGAAAGCACAGTTAACCATAAACAGAACAAACCACTAAAAGCACAGGACAGACCATTTCCTTCCCTCAAGTAAAATGAGTTAAAAAAGAAGTCTTAAAGGGAATGTCCCAGAAAGTTTCCATAACCTGAAGAGCCCAGGAAACACGGTTCCAACCAATGACATTTTATGGGCATGCTTCTGAAGGAAGGCATGCCCCTCCTGCTTGTAAAAACTTGCATTTTCACTCCCAAAGTAGTTAACTGGGCATCAGGTTACAATGTGTGCTCTCAACTTTAAAGAAGAAAGCATTATTTGTATTTGTTTCACGAACTCTGAAATAAGCAGCGGGAAAGAGACGTGTAGCTTTCTAGGGAGTTGCTTCAGTACTTTAAGCAACTTTGTCCCACTCACGCAAATTCTAATGTTTATTTTTGCAGCGCTGAGGATTAAACCCAGGGCATGACACATGCTAGGTAAGTGCTATACCATGAGCTATATCCTCAGTCACTCAGATTTAGCCTCTCAAATAATTCCCTTTCGGGCCAGCAAGATAGCTCAGTGGGTGAAGGTGCTTGCTGCCAAGCCTGATGATCTGGACCTGAATTTGATCCTCAGAACTCATATGGTAGATGGAGAGAACTAATTCTTGCAAGTTGTTCTCTGACTTTCACATGCATGCCATGACATGTACATAAACACAGACACATACTAGATAAAATGTGAAAAAATTTACCCCTTTTTATACAAACATGACACCTAGGACACAGCCTATGTATGAGGTGAGCTGGTAGAAATCAGTGTCCTTCTCTCTATAGTGGTAATACTACTTCCTTCTAAAATTAGACACTTGTTTTCAATATAGAGCTAAATAGTTCAACTTTGTAGAATTCCTAATTTTTGAAACAAGACACTAAAAAATTAAGATCTTAGAAACATAATTCCTTCCAGTGTGATCTTCTAAAAGCATGCTTATAAATTTACCCCTTACTATCAAATTTCAATAATGAGAAATGGTAGCAGGGCGGGTAGATTCCATCTGTAATCCCAACACTTAGGAAGAAGTCTGAGGAGCACCTGAGCTCTAGAGAGAGTTCCAAGTTATCCTGGGCTAAAGTGAGAGCTTGCCTCAAAAAATAAACAAACAACATAAATAAAATGCTTGCTTATAGAGCTATGTTTCTGGGATCAGAATAAAGGACTATCCACCACACTTTTAGAAGTACACACATGACCCTAACAAGCTAGACCTTGCCTTCTCCCAAATCATGTTGACAGCCAGAACTTCTCTTGTCCCATGACATAGAGAATCTGTACATTCATTTCCTATGAAAAAAATCCTAAAAATCTGAGAGATTCACAATGTTTCTGCATGGCTTGAAATGGCCTGGGGTGTCTTAGTCATCTTCCAACTCCTGCAAGCAACCAGTGGGACACACTCCACTCCTCTAATCTGATAACCCAGGCTTGAGCTTTTAAACAGTAGTGGTCCCTACTGCAATAGCCAGTTATGCCAGGCTTGGAGTCCAAGCCCAAGGTGAGACTTCAGGTTTTTGGTGACACTCTCTTAGAAGTACCAATCAGTTGCTTTGGTCTCTAATTGAGGAAGACAAATCTAGTACCAACTGTTAGGTTTCAACAGCAATCTCACTGATCACCGTGATGAGGAACAGGGAGGATTCACTGAAGGTTCCTCTGAGCAGCTTACCTCATTGTCATGGGGTGGCAGTTGGTGCAGGAGCTGTTTGATTCGTAGTTTCTCTCCAGGACTGTTGACATAAGGGACTTTCTCCTCTGGGAGGCAGCTGTAGTACTGGTGCACCTGAGGGACAGACCATACTTAACACTTGCCCATGACATACATCCTGTGCCTCTCACCACCTGGAGGATGGCTCCCAGAGGATTGCTGGCTACTTTCCTTGCTCCCAGCACCCTCTACAACACTCAGCTGCTGCCTCTCCCAAGGCGCGCGCGCGCGCACACACACACACACACACACACACACACACACACACACACACACACAGAAGCACCTCTTGAAAGACAGAGCCAAGTGAATCGCCCCTCACTTGGGCTTTCCCTCCCCCAGAAGGGAAAAGACAAGTAAAGGAACTTCCTTAGCAATGGAGAATTCAGCGACTATGCAGGTGAAGCTGGAGGGCAAGGCTTTCTCAGCAGACTCCCAAGAGCATTGCTTTACCATTTTCTGTGCTGCTGCAGCATGGGAGGCGCCTCTCTAGTCAAGGGATCTGTTGCTGCCTGCCTTACCACCGCTCTCCAGCCTCTCTCTGGCACTCTGTAGAGATTCCTGGCTGCCTCAGCCTCCACCTACCTTTAAAGCCCTCCAGGTCTCAAGCCATTTGCAAGACAGGCAGCAGCTGACATCCACCCAAAAGAGACTCATTGTAGGGTGTACAGTGTGTAATTCAACAGTGTCATGAACATAAAGATGTTTTTTGCATATTCTATTGTGCTATTCTTCACAGCTGTTATGATATATCCCAGCATTTTCTAAGGTTCATTCAATTGTAACTATTGGGCAAAGCACCAAACACCCAATTTTGCCCAAGAAAAGAAAGCATACATTCTACTGAGGTTGTGGGCCCCAATGATGAGAGAAGAAGGAACATATCAACCCTAGTTTGAGTGGTTTTTTAAAATGTTTTTCCTCCAGTAATAGGCTGTAAGTTTCCATTTCTCTGTGGCTTTAAAAATGTTTTGTATTTCTTTTGTATTTATGTGCATTTCTGTGTGCTCGTATGAGTTTATGTGCACTGGGTACATGCAGATGCCTGCAGTGGTCAAAAGGCCATTGGAGCCTTTGGAACTGGATTTCCAGGTGGTTGTAAGCCACCTGATATTGGTGCTGGGAACTGAACGCTAGTCCTCTGCAAGAACAGCAAGTGCTCTTAGCTGCTTAACCATTTCTCCAGCTCCTCTTTGTGGGTTTAATTTAAGCAATAAATTTATATTTCTCCAAAATATAGCCCATTTCCCCTCACATGCAGTGGGTCTCTCTAGCCCTGTTTATACCACATAGGGCAGAGAAAGTTGGGGCATCCACTCTTATCCCAGCCCATCAACAATTCTGTTATTTCTGTGCTCATGGACAGAGACCCAATCCCTACTACAGAAGGGGCTCACAGACACCGTTAGGACAACAGAAAAAGAGAGGGAGGAAAATCACTAGGTGGGATACCCTAAACTGAAAATCCCAAACTCTCTTAGAGTCAGTGATCTTTCCATCTCTGGAGGCTCCCTTTCTACCTGAGAAATCTTCAACACTTGCTAATAAACACTTCCACTTTGCACTGTGCCATTTACCTGTCTTAATTTTTTAGCTGATGGAGACAAAGAACCCACCTGCTGCCTGGTATCGCTATCATCACATCACATGGACCATAAAGGCAAGCATAAACTGACAAGAAAGGCCTGGGAGAAGGTTCAGTCAGTAAAGCCCCTGCTCTGCAAGCAAGAAAACCTGAGTTTGGATCCCCTGTAGCAGTGTAAAAAGCTGGGTACAGCAGCGTGCGCTTCTATAACCCGGTACTGGGGTGGGGAGACAGGTGAATCCCTGGAGCTCATTGGCCAGCTAGCCTAGCCAGTTAGTAAGCTCCAGTCAGTGAGAAACCTTTTGTCTCAAAAAATAATTTGGAGAGCAACTGAGAAAGACACCCATTTGACCTCTGGCCTCCATGTGCACATACGTGCACACACCCACACAAACACAAACGTACCCCACATATAAAAAAAGAAAAAATGACAATAATCAAAGGTGTGCTATCATAAAGTTGAGGAAAAATTCCCCACAGGCTCAGACTCCACGGAAGATGCTTTCAAACTTCTCTCAAAAAACAGTACAAGCAGCTCTCAGCAAGCAAGGCACTTGTTCAACGAGCTGGAGGAGATGGGAAACTGGGACTCTAAAGCCGACATATTCCTTACACTGCATGCCACACTCACATGCTTCCTCCCATCTCTTTGCATTAGGGAGTGGTGGATATGAACACATGCTCTGGGAATGCTGGGGTGAAGAGTTGCGAAAGCTTTGTCCACTTTGATCTCTAGAAACAAAGTTGTATGCTTTAAAGGAGCAAGCAGGACATGGTTTGCAATGACAGGGCCTTAAGAAATGGGAAAGCCATCCTTACTTTCATAACTAAAACTAGAACCACTCACCATGATGTGCCTATTGCCTTCAGAGTCGGTTCTAAAGGCAATCATACACTTCCTATCACTGACTAGCTGGCTTTTGGTAGAAAAGCAGGGCTGCTGTAACCTCTCTTTAGAGGTGACTGGCAGGGAGCCATGTCCTCGGTGGAAGGAGTGGCTATGAGTTTTGTAGGTAACTCACAGACAGCCGGCACTCCTGAGAAGCAGCGGCCCACATCATAAATTAGCTTCAGATTGGTTGTTGGCTATCAGGCCATCCAACTCTTACACCACTCTGGGAATGTCTTCTGAGAAGTCCCTGTACCATATGCCTCATTGGACATAGGCCAGATGTAAGGAAGAATGCCTAATCCCGATAGTTTGGGGCTTGAGCTTTGCCTCCCAAGTCAGAATACTGCTTGAAGAAAGGCCTTCTTCTAGGATGGAAATAGTGCCGTAATTGTGTCAGTACTTCGGAGGGTGAGGTAGGAAGATCATGAGTTTAAGGGTAGCTTGAGCGATACAGTGAAACCCTGCCTTGATGATAACAGAAGAAAAAAGAGAAAAGGAAGGAGGGGAGAAAGAGAAAGAAAAGTGGACAGGGAGAAGGAAAGGCAGGCTTTGCTTTTGTCATTTGTGAAATTCCCATAATCATAGACCATCAGTGGAAGCTGACGAATCCCCACCATGCTTGATAACATTAGAGCTTGCCTGACCCTCCTCTCAGTCACTACTCATTATCTTCCCAGCAGTCATCCCCAAGAGCCAAGCCTGCTGCAATGCTGTCCACATCTGCTCAGAATGGAACCTTTTCTGCCCCTTCCTCAGCCTGGTAGGTAGATTTGAACTCCAGCTTGGCTCTGTCATTTTCTTTCTATAGGTTCCTGAGCAAGTCACACAAACACTCAGGTCATTCATTATAAGACCACGACATCAGTGTGGATGCAAATAAAAAATTCATAATGATGAATTCTACTAGCCTGACCTAGTCAAGATAGAATAATCTAGATACTTCATGGCCTTCCATTTTAGGATCTGTAGCAACCATGGTGGTGTACAGAATAAGACCAAGCCCTGGAGCCACCTCACTTGGCTTGAGGAGAAAAAAGTTACAAGGAACATAGAACTATTAAAGCAAATATGAATTCTGAGGATAAATGCCAAATTATTATAAAGACACGGTGTTTTCTCATCTCCCTCATCATAGCATCCTCCTACCTCCACACTATTTTCTCTTTGTACAACCTTCCTGGAGCTGAACGCCCCCCCCCCCGGCCCCCAGGGTTTACACTGCTTCAGTTCAAGAGTCTACCCAGACTGACTAGCTTTTCTCAATTCTCAGTTCCCCAGCAGAGCATCCTGGGTACCCCATCTTGGGCTGGATCCACCCTGGGAGATGGGATTGAAGCAGTTCCACACATCTGAAGATTGGAGAATAAGAGAATTCCAACATTACAAGACTGGGCAAACACTGACAGAAAACTCTGGAGACATTTCAGAATAAATACTTGGTGTGCATATTAGTTTTCTATAACTGGGATAAAAATATTTGAGACAACAACTTAAAAGGAGGAAAGATTTGGCTGGTGGTTTCAGAGGTTTTAGTCCATGGTCTCTTGATCCTGTCATTTTGGCCTTGTGGTAAGGCCCAACAACGTGGCAAGTGCATGTGGTAAAAGCAAAGCTGTTAATATCACACAGAGAGGAAGGGGCTGGGCTCCAATATTCTATTTAAGGGCATGCCCACATTAACCTCACTTCCTTCCACTAGGCTCCACTTCCTAAAGGTTCCATCACCTCTGTGGTGGATTGAATGAGTAGAGTCCCCATAGGCTCTAGTATTTGAACACCTGATATATGCTCCTTAGTTAGGGGAGCTGTTTTGGGAAGTCATGGAACCTTCAGGAGGTGTAGCCATGCTGGATGGAGGAAGGATGTCACCGGGGGTGGGCTTTGAGAGTTCATAGCCTCTCTCTCCTACTTCCAGCTTCCTTTCTTTCTTCTTCTTTTTTTTTGGTCTTTTTGATACAGGGTCTCCCTGTAGCTCCAGCTGTCCTGGAACTCACTATGTAGACCAGGCTGGCCTTGAACTCACAGAGATCCACCTGCCTCTGCCTCCCAAGTGCTCGGATTAAAGGAGTGCACCCCCATGCCTGGACCCCAGCTTTCTTTCTGCTTCCTGTGAGTGACTGAAGATGCAAGCATTCAGCTTCCTGCTCTGGCTGCCTCGGCCACCATGCATCCCTGGCATGATGAACTCTTGTCCTTCTGGAAACCCTAAGTTCAAATAAACTCTTCTATGAGTTGCCTTGGTCATTTGTTTTATCACAGCAACAGAAAAGTAATTAATACAACGTGACATCACTGCCACAGTGTGCTGGATAGCTTTAGTGTCAACTTGACACACCTGGGTTGAGGGAGCCTTAATTGTGGAATTTCCTCTATTGGACTGGCCTATAGAAATGTCCGAGGGGCATCTTCTTGATGAGTGATGTGGGAGGGCCCAGCACACTGTGGGTGGTGCCACCCCTGGGAGGGTGGGCCTGTGTGGCATAAGAAAGCAGGATGAGCAGGGGCCAGGGGAGTAAGCCAGTAAGCAGCATTCTTCCATGGCCTGTGCTCCAGATCCTGTTTCCAGGATCCTGCCCTGAGTTCCTCCTACCTTGGGCT